TAGGTTCTATACTTTTCTATTAGGGACTTGAACAACCATAAATTTTGATATCCTGGGGGAAAGGAGTCTTGTAACCAATCCCCTTGGATGCTGAAAAGCAACTCTGTACATATCCCATTTGGCACAGACCTTACAAGAACTTCTCAGCATGGTTGAAAAAGCCTGTAATCCCAGTGGCTAACAAGGCTGAGGCAGGAGGATTGAAAGTTCAAAGCCAGCTTCAGCAACTAAAAGAGGCCCTGTCTCAAAATTTAAAAAAAGGGGCTGGGAATGTGGCTCAGTATTAAGCACCCTGGGTTCAATCCCTGGGGGGGCGGGGGGAAATCTTGCAAGAACTGATACTAACACAAAGTATTTAACAATGGCAAATATCTGGAGTAAATATGAACACAAAGATAACACTAGAATAATGAAAGTCATCTTAGCATTTGTGTGATTGCACTGACATAATGTGTCCACCTCAGGAAATAAGGAATCTAATAAATAGACAATCTAGAAATGTGCCACATTATTCCAAGATTCCAAGTCTTAAAGTAGAAACACATAACTTATGTCACCCTTTGCAATTAGAGTTATTCTTCAGATTTCCCAACCTATCTATCTATCCTTTGCTTAAAACCAGTTAGTGGGGGGTGGGGGCTGGGGTTGTGGTTCAGTGGTAGAGCTCTTGCCTTCCATGTGTGAGGCACTAGGCTCGATCCTCAGCACCACATACATAAATAAATAAAAAAAAGGTATCGTGTTATGTGGAACAACAATCAATCAATCAATAAAATCTAACTTCTTTTTTTATGTTTTTTAGTTTTTTTTTTTAAGAGAGAAGGAGGTGGGGGGGAGAGAGAGAGAGAATTTTTTAATATTTATTTTTTAGTTATCGGCGGACACAACATCTTTGTTTGTATGTGGTGCTGAGGATGGAACCCGGGCCGCACGCATGCCAGGCAAGCGCGCTACCGCTTGAGCCACATCCCCAGCCCCTAGTTTTTAGTTTTTGATGGACCTTTATTTTATTTATTTGTATATGGTGCTGAGAATCGAACTCAGGGCGTCATACATGCTAGGCAAGTACGCTACCACTGAGCCACAACCTCAGTTCCATAAATCTAACTTCTTATTAAGCCTCTGTGACAGTTAGGGTCCAGTCAGAAAAACAGAGTTTAAAATAGGAAATTCATGAAACAGGTGCCAGAGGACTAAAAAAGCAAAAAGGGGAATATTGAGGTGACATAAATCACCAGTACAGGAAGCAGCGACCATGTCTCCAAAGCTGCAGAACAAGGTGGGGTGAGCAGAGCTGGTAAAGTGGGAGGGGGAGCCCTGGAGAGCTGGTTCTTCTGCCTCCAAGAAAGGGGTGCCACCAAGTAGCTGCTGGCCCTCCCACGGCCTACAAAACTGGGGCCCAGAATTCTGAGTGGGGGTGGTGCTGGCATTCTGGGGGTGTACGTGAAGGTTGTTTCTTTTCTTTTCTTTCTTTTTTTTTTAGTACCAGGGATTGAACTCAGGGACACTCAACCACTGAGCCACATCCCAGCCATATTTTGAGGTTGTTTAGAGACAGGGTCTCACTGTCTCAGCCTACCTAGCCACTGGAATTACAGGAGTGCGCCACCATACCTGGCCATGGAGGTTGTTTCTGTGAGTATGGAAAGAACTTGGAGACTGAATTAAATGCCACTGCCAGAGTAGAATGTCACTACATAGGGAGCAGGTAAGGTACAGTAAGGACATGGGAGTGAGCCAAGAGTAAGTCCCTTCTCTGCCAGCCTTTTGTCCTTCCTCCTCCACTCCTAATAACAGAACCAACTCTAGCTGGCAAGAATTATGATTTGTAGCCCTGATTTCACAGAGCAGCACTGAGAAAAGTGGATTTTGAGCTGAGATACCAGCAAAGACCTAGATGATATAGCCCCTGCTCACCTTCCCAGCCCAATCCCTTTCATTATCCCCCCATTATGAACTCAACTCCAATCATCCTACTGGGCTTCTTTTTATTTCTCAACCACCACTAAGCATTTTTATTTGCTATCCCATCTACCCAGAAGTACCTTTTACTTTGGGTCTTCCTTAAAGCCACCAACTCAAAGAGGACTTCTCTGATTTTACCAACCTAAAAAAAAATAACTGGCTCCCTTTACACACTTGGTAATATTTCCCATTTTCATTTTTCTCATAACATTTATCACTATTTAAATTACGTTTTGCAGCTGGGTACATGGCACAGGACTGTAATCACAATGATTCTGTAGGCTGAGGCAGGAGGACTGCAAGGTCAAAGCCAGCCTCAGCAATGAAGCAAGGCCCTAAGCAAATTAGTGAGACCCTGTCTCAAAATAAAAAGTAAAAAGAGCCAAGGATGTGGCTTAGTGATAAGGTACCAAAGTCCCTGAGTGTTCAATCCCCAGTTCAGCCTTACCACAAGTATTTGTGAAAGTACTGGGGAAAGAAGATTAAAAAAATTAAAAAAAAAAAAAAGTTAAAATTTTTGTGGTGCTAGGGGTGAAATCCAGGGTCTCATGCATGCTAGGCACAAGCTCTATCACTGAGCTACACTCTCATCCCCTACTTTTTTTTTCCAGTAGCGGGGTTGAATTTAGGCATGTTTTACCACTGAGCTACATCCTCAATCCTTTTTGCATTTTTTATTTTGAGACAAAGTCTTGCTAAATTGCACAGACTGGACTTGAACTTGCCATCCTCCTGCCTCAGCCTCCTAAGTTGCTGGGATTACAGGCAGGCACCAAAGCCCCTGGCACAAACCTTTCAAATTTAGAAATGAATGAACAAAATTGCTGGAGAGGCCAAGGTGTTGGAGATGCCAAACTCGGCGAACTCGATTGCCCAGGTCATAAGGTGAGGTGCAGGGGTCAAAGGTCGGGTTCCGGTCAACACCAAGAAGAACCGGAAGTCCCAGATCAGGTCCACTCAGCCCGGACCTCCAGCTGCAAGACTAAACTAACCGAGGAGGAGCTTCAGCACCGGGAGAGGGAGGGGCTTGCGGTCCTCCAATGGCAGCTCGACTGTCCTTCCACAGCAGCCAATCAACGCCAGGAGACGGTCAAATTTAAACCCCCTCCCATCTCCTCCGCCGGGACCTGTCCCGAAAGCGTTTGTAGAAAGTGCGGCCGCTGGCCCCGCCCCCGGAGGGGAGGCGGGGAGAAGGGCGGGCTCTCTCAGCCAGTTCGCCTATCACGACCGGCAGCCTTTGGAGAGACGGGGGGAGGCGCCAATCAGGGCGAGCAGCTGCACCTCGCTGGAGCAGTTGGCTACAGTTGTTGCAACTTTTTTCGAAAGCTCGGTTTCCCGGGAGATCCAGGCGGTGACAGAGCCGGGCCATGGCTAGAGGTATTTGCTTGGGTGGCTAGCGCAAGGAGCGGGGGATGGGGGTCCCCTGGAGGGAGCCGGGTGGCGGGAGCGGCGGCGGGGTGGCGCCCTCCTGCGGGTGGAGCGCGGGGGCCGGGGGGAAGGGGGCTGCAACAGAACCTTCCCTGCCCGCTCCCCGCCCCCTGTCCCCTGCCCCTTGCCCCTGCTCCTGAAGCCTGCAGGAGCGCTTCCACCGCGGCGCCTCAGGCTCCTCTCAAGTGTGGGCGCCCACTGACCGCCTCTCCAGAGGCGGCGGACCCATGTGCCAGCGCCCTTTGGAAACTGACGACCGGGGCACCTCTGGGAGCGGTTGTTTGTTCGGGGGGGGGTGGGGGTCGAGGCTTCGCCCACCTTGGGGCGCCCCGTCGAGGGGCAGGAAGCGACCGGGGCGAGGGCGCAGACCCAGAGCCTGCCTCCTGGGAGCGCCGCGGCGGGCACCCTCCTTCCCCACTCCCTGAGTCAGCTCTGCGCCGCGGGGCGAGGGCCGGCCGCTGGCACACTTCGAGCAGAAACGTGTCCCCCGGCACCTCCCGGAGAAGCCCTCCGCCCAGAAGCCGGCCAGGACTCCAGCCCTTCGCGGATGGCGTGGGTGGGCTTGTGCAGCCTCGGCGGGCGACGTCCCTGCCTCAAGTCAGTCTTTGCATACTTAGTTTGCTGTCAGGACAGTAGAGCCCACGTTATGCGGCAAAGAGATCTCCAACCGCTGGTCATTTCCAGCGGCTGCCTCCTCCTGCTCGCTCAAGGGACAAAAACTTAAGCGTGACAGGCAACTAGAATTACCGATTTTTAAAAAATCGAGTTGTAGTATTATATTCTTCTCGAAATTCCAAGGCATCGTGTGTTGGTAGTAATTTGGCTTACTGTAGTGTACTCCCTGTAGCAATAATAATTAATAAAATCACGATTCATTCAGCAAATCTTTATGGGGCCCCTTTGTTTTCAGGCCCTATACACGATTGCATCATTTATTCAGGGTAGGATCTTTTGGGACAAGAATTCCCCAGGGATTTATTAATTTATTTTGTTAGTACTGGGAATTGAGCCCCGGGGCACTTTACCATTGGGCCATATCTCCAGACATTTTTATTTTATTTTATTTTCATTTTAAGACAGAGTATTGGTGAGTTGCCCAGGCTGGCCTGGAACCTGTGATCCTCCTGCTTCAATAGTAGTTGGGATTACAGACGTGGCCACCGCATGGGGCTAGACTTCCCTAGATTCTAATGAAGTAATGAGGCCTAGTAAACTTCTGGTTAAAGAGCTGTAACCCAATTCATAATTCACAGGGAAATTAAAACTAATATTTTTTCCTTTAAAAAGTATATTCATCTGACAAGACTTAGTAAAACTGATTCTTTGTTTTTCCCATCACTGCAAAAACATTTAAACTACCAGTTTCAAAAGTAAAAGTTTAAAAAAAGAAAAAAAGTGCTTAAAAATCATTATTTTTAAAATTATTTTTTTAGATATTGATGGACCTTTTATTTTATTCATTTATTTATATGCGGTGCTGAGAATCGAACCCAGTGCTTCACATATGGTAGGCAAGTGCTCTACACTGAGCTACAACCCCAGCCCAAATAATAATTATTGAGGGCCAGGCAGTTTATTATCTTATTTAATCTTTTTTTTTTCCTTCACTTCAGATGGGTAATGTGCCTATGCTGTAATATGTTTAGAGGGAGGCACATCTCACACAATTGTGTGAATACCCAATCATCACTTACGAACAGAAGGAGCTCATTTAATCTTACAAAACGTTTTTTCAGAGATGGAAGCTGAAGTTCAAGTCACCTTCCAGACTCTAGCCATGCTGTGCCTTTGCTCATTGGGCCCCCATCTCCCTTAATTAGCCTAAGTGAAGGTCAAAGTTTTCCAGCTTCTACCATGGTAGGCTTACAAATCACCTTTGTAATTATTAGTTAGAGATTTTTTTTTTTTTAATATTTATTTATTTATTTTCGTTTTCGGCAGACACAACATCTTTGTTTGTATGTGGTGCTGAGGACTGAACCCGGGCCGCACGCATGCCAGGCGAGCACGCTACCGCTTGAGCCACATCCCCAGCCCCTAGTTAGAGATTTTCACTGTCTCACTTGACCCCTGGATTAGTACTTACCTGTTTCTTAGGCTTCGCTAAGCTTGCAGACTAGTAAATTGGATTGTAAACACCAAATTATTTGTAGAATAGCAAAAGAAAGCTTTTTCTTCTAGAAAATCATTCTTTGTTTCAGACTTGCAGTTTATTTTGAGAGCCCCAGTATGTTACAAACTGTTCAGATACCAGTCGACTCCTAGCTGGTTTTGAAGTTTTATTTATTTATTTTTGTGGTGCTGGGAATTGAACCCAGGGCTCTTAACCACTGAGCCACATCCCTAGGCCTTTTTTTTTTTTTAAAGAGAGATAATTTTTTAATATTTATTTTTTAGTTTTTGGTGGGCACAACATCTTTATTTTATTCTTATGTGGTGCTGAGGATCGAACCCAGTGCCCCAAGCATGCCAGGCGAGGGCGCTACCGCTTGAACCACATCCCCAGCCCCATCTAGGCCTCCTGCCTCAGTCTCCTGAGTTGCTAGGATTACAGACATGGGCCTCCCCACCCAGTTGGTTTTAAAATTTTATAGTCACCTAACTATTTGCAACCCCAAGTATTTTATTTTTATTTATTTATTTATTTTTGTAAAGAGAGAGGGAGAGAGAGAGAGAATTTTAATATTTATTTTTTAGTATTTGGCGGACACAACATCTTTGTTTGTATGTGGTGCTGAGGATCGAACCCGGGCCGCACGCATGCCAGGCGAGCGTGCTACCACCGCTTGAGCCACATCCCCAGCCCCAACCCCAAGTATTTTAGCTTGAGGAGGATCAGTCCATCTACTTCTCTCATCTCTTCTATTGCCAAATGGCCCCTTTCAGATTGTTCTTCCTTCATGCATTTTTACCACTTCCAGTTCATTATCCCTTCACAGGTAGAGTAGTTCCTGAGAATACAGATTTTTAGCATGGGACCCTTACTACTCTCTCCTTCACCAATCTTCCCATTGCTCCTAGAATAAAATCCACAGTAACTGTGGCCTAGGAGGTCACCAACAATGCCACCGCAAGACCCCTGGCCTCACTGTGCTCCACCTATTTTTGTTTTCACTACCCTATTTTTATCACAAGACCTGAAACAAAGTAGGTATCCAATAAATATTTGTTGAATGAATGAATCAGTATGTTAGCATTTGAATTCAAGAGATGCTATACACATTCTTTTTTTTTTTTGTAAAATATGCTGGGGCTGGGGATGTGGCTCAAGCGGTAGCGCGCTCGCCTGGCATGCGTGCGGCCCGGGTTTGATCCTCAGCACCACATACAAACAAAGATGTTGTGTCAGCCGAGAACTAAAAAATAAATATTAAAAAATTCTCTCTCTCTCTCTCTCTCCCCCGCACTCTTTCTTTAAAAAAAAAATAAATAAATAAAATAAAATATGCTTATCTAGCAGAACTAGGTTCAGATCCCACCCAATTTCTTCACTTTCTAGTCATGGGACTTATAATGATTTATTTGTTCTGACCCTCAATTTCCACATCTGTGAAACAGGAGTAATAGTACCTTCTCATCATTTCCTGGGAAATTTAAATAATGCAATATTTCAGGGCCTAGCACATCATAAACATTCAATAAGTGTTAGTTATTAGTAGTAATATCACTGTTGCATTATATTTCTACAAATTCCTGGGCAAAATGGAGCATCTGTATTTCCATCGATGGGTTTATATATTATGCAAATAAACAGGTGCCAAGAAGGGGAGAACTGTTTTGATACGCTGAATGATTTGCATTTACTTCTGGGTACTCAAGCTTCAGTTAGAGGAATTGGTGCTAGACTTGAATCCCCTGCTTTTGGGACTAACATTGCAATGAAAGCTATGGCCATAAGTGTAGAGAGGGAGAATGGTATCCTTGTGAAGTGAACAGAATGATTTGTATGTATGTTTCCTTCTCTAGAGCCATGATTCCCATCATAATGTGACAACAGTCTGCAAAATATGCTCTACAGATGTAGAGACACTTTCAAATGGCTCTACTGAGTGTCAGAATGTCACTTTGGAATCCTCTTTCTTCCTCATCCTGGGTATTCAAATACAATAGACTCTGCAGAGGGCATGTGAAGAATGCCCTATCCCACTGGGGTTAATGGTCAGGGTGGATTCCTGTCTTGATGGATGTTAAAACTTGAGCTAGTTTGGGAGGCATTGCCCTGAGTGCCATCCTGTCACTTAATCCTACTCAGTCATATCCCTTCTGAAGGGAGGCAAGGCAGAGAGGTACCTATAGCCTTTTTTTTTTTTTTTTTTTTACCTGTATATGTTAGAAGGTGCCTTGGGTAGATTATGGAATAAAATGTTCTTGGTTTTTACCCATGAGAAGCTGAGGGCTAGCTTGGGGAAATGCCTTGGCCATGGCCACAAAGCATCGTTGGGCAAATACAGTGAGAGAAACCCAGGCAGTAAGAGCTGGACATCTTGAAGTACCTTGTTTGCATCTATGACTTTGCACAAATATACTGACGAATTTTTGGCTGTGGGCCCACAGCTCTAGCAACTACCGCACAAGGCAGTGAGCTCTGCAGAGACAGCCATCGGAGTGCCTGGAACCCTGTCTACCTGGGGCATTTTCTCATGGGAGTTAAGGCAGGAGCACAAGGTGACCTGCTATTCCCTCTGCAACACCATTTTCTCCTCCTAAGCTCAGTTGCCTCATCTGTAACAGGGAAGGGTAGTGGCTAAGGAGAGCAGTCTTCAGGGTCTGTTGTCCTGGACTAGAAACCCGTTTCTAGTTGTGAGATCTGGCCAAACTCTTCACTTCCCTGAAGCTTATTTTCCCCATCTGTAGAAAAGAGTTAATGGTGCCTTCCTGCGTGAGACTGTTGTGAGGTTTGAATGAGACAACTATGCAAGGAAGCACCCAGTAAGCTTATCAATACAAGCCCAGGCTCTGTCTCCCTAGGCCTCCTATCGGCTAAGTACAGATCACTTAGGTTTGACTCTTAGCCCGGTCACTTCCTGGTTCTGTGACTTTGGGCAAACTCCTGCCCAGACCTTTAGCCTCAGCATCCCCATCTTAAACTGAGATGGCGACAGTGCCTGCCCCAGCGGGCTGGCGGAGTTTAAGAGACGTCGGTGAGCACAGCTCCGGGAGCACCGAAGTCCTCTCCTCGCATTCTCCGCTGCTGGTTTCGCCTGGCACCGACCGGGCTCCCTGAATACCCGTGGAACCGCGAGAGGACCGGCCGGCGGGGAGCCTGGCTGTCGTGACCGTGTTCCGCACCCGGTGCTCGCCGAGTGGCAGAGGACGCGCGCGAGGGGGCGCACCCGAGTCCGGATTCGCCGCGCCGCGCCCTCCCTCCCTCCTCCCGCCTCGCTCGCTCCCTCCCTCCGAGGAGCCTTGCAGCGCCGCCCCTGCCAGCCCCCTCCCCGGGCGGGGAGCTGGACGGTGGGCGGCGGCGGCGGCGGCGGCGAGCGGGCCGCGGAGGACGCGCCGCCAGCGCCTCTCTCCTGCGTCCCTCGCCCCGGGCGGCCCGGGGCTGCCGCGGCGCGCGGGTGCCCGCCCTGCCTCGCAGGCCATGGGGGAAGGGGGCGCCGT